TTGCCCACAATGCAACACCTCTCTTCCCACTTCCTCCCCATGGTTACCCTGTGTCCTTCCCTCCCATGCACTCCCGCCCCCCGAGCTGTCTTCCTATGCAAACAGTGCCCTTCTGTTCTCCCACGATTGATGGCTCCAAGGAGTGTATCTACCTGATGTAAATGTTCACGCTATACGCCTGTCTGTTGTTTTAATCTTTAGGCCAGCAGAGCTACAGAGCTGCGGGGTGGGTTCGAACCACTAACTTGGGGGTTAGCAGTGAGGAACCGGTAACTTTTTGGTTAGCAGTGCGCCTTGTGGTCCCTAATAGGTGGCCGAATTGCATGTATTTGTGAGCGGATGTGGACTGGTTTTAGTGCCCTCAGTTTTCCAGCGGCTGAGAGGGCGGCAACTGAACTCCTGGGAGTTAGGAGGGACTGAGCTGGCTGAGTGGGAACCTTTTGGGACCTCCCCCTGGGCGTGGCCAGTTGCTCCGGAGTTCTGATTGGGCACATGCCACTCCACCTTTGTCCTGAGTGGGCGGGCAGGGAGGTGTCCTCCTGGCAGTGGGCGTGTCTGAGTGCCTCTGTCCTCCAGGATCGCCTGTATTTCGTGATGGAGTACGTCACTGGGGGCGACTTGATGTACCACATCCAGCAATTGGGCAAGTTTAAGGAGCCCCACGCAGCGTGAGTCTCCGCCGTGAGGGGGCCCAGGGGAAGCTGGAAGTGGGTGGGATCCAGGCCCTGACCTCTGATTTCCTACCTCCTCCTCCAGGTTCTACGCAGCAGAAATAGCCATCGGCCTCTTCTTCCTTCACAATCAAGGTGTTATCTACCGGTGAGCAGCCCCAGGCTCCAATGAGGAGAAGTCAGGCCTGCAGGGGAAGGGGGCCCCGGGTGACGCAGACAGGTAACACGCTCGGTGCTAACTGAACGTTGTCCATGTGAGTCCACTCAGAGGCGCCTTCCAGGAAAAACCGGGAGGTCTCCTGAAAATCAACCAGCGAAACCCTGGGGTCCATGTCTCCTCTGAGACCAGAAGAACTAGATGGTGCCCGGCTACCACTGCCCATTGTTCTGATCAGACCCTCAACAGAGGGCGCCTCGTAGAACGAGAGGAAGATGCAGAATGGGAACAAAAGTCCAGGTTTACTGGCCTGGTTCAGACTGGAGGGCTCCCGGAGTCCATCAGACTGAGATAAACCCTGAACTGTCCTTCAAAACCAAACTCACTGCCATTGAGTTGGTTCTGACTCAGCGCAATCCCCATTGGGTTTTCGAGGTGGTAAATCTTTATCCTCGGAGGTCACCTTTTAGCAAAACATCAGATTGGCACACAAAATAAAGGATAGTGGAGTATGGTGCTCCACTAAAAAAATAAAAATAAAACATGTATATGAAACCCAGAAGTCAACAATGACCTAGAGCAAAGATGGGGAGATAAGGGGGCAGGGATCCGGAGTGCTGGAAACTGAGCGGCCAGAATGCAACTAAAGTAAATGTTGAAACATTGCAAAAAGTGTAACTAATGTCGCTGAACTCTTCCTGTCAACATTGTCGTGTGGGGGAACCTATTTCATTGAGAACCCGGTAAATATTATTTTAAAAAATAAAGAGAGAAAGCCCTGTGGACCCTCGCTGTACTGGGACACACGTGGGGTCGTCATGGGTGCAGTCCCCCCGGAGCACGGGCTCCTACTGGAGGGCGGGAGCTCAGCCCTCCGCTCGCCTCTCCCCTACCCCCTCCAGGGACCTGAAACTGGACAACGTGATGCTGGACGCGGAAGGACACATCAAGATCACTGACTTCGGCATGTGCAAGGAGAACATTTTCCCGGGTACTGCCACCCGCACCTTCTGCGGGACCCCGGACTACATAGCCCCCGAGGTAACCCAGACTCCGCGGCCCTGGGCTGCCGTCCACCTTCGCGGAGCGAGTGTGGCTGGGAGTCTAGTACTCAGAATGGGTGGGGCCTGATGCTGGGGTCTTCTGGTGAGTCTCGGGGGGCATAGAAGCCGGAATGCTGAGTAATGGGAGTAGGTGGGAGCTGTGGGTGAACCCTGTAGCGCGTACAACCAGCTCGTAGGAATCGTCAGTGCACAGAGTCTGTTTCTGGAGCATTCTACGCAGGTGGAGACTGTTCCCAGTGCACACTGAGTGGGCAGGGCCTTCCCCACACACACCCCAGATAACAAAGTGTGTGGAGTATCCTAAGTGGGGGGGACTTGCCCTGGAGTGCTCTAATGCATGCAAGCTCATCCTGTAAGTACCCTAGGTGGCTCTTTGATCTAAGTGGGGTGGTCTGTTGTGTTGACGTTTCTAAGAAAGCAGCGTGAGATCCTTAAGAATTGTGGCAGGGCAGTTGCTGCCCCCTGAGTGTTTGGGGAGGATGGAGTGTTGCTTTGACTTTGTTTGGGGCGTTCAGCTATGTTCTGAATGTATGGGCGATTGGCCCCTGTGTTGACTTTCCTAAGATGAGGGAGGAGGTAGTGGTTGCCGCTGGTCCTGAGATATTTCCAGATGGTCCATGGTGGTACCCAGGGGGAGGCCCTGGGAGGCACACGTGGGCAGGCATTCGACTACCAGCTGAGAGACTGGCAGCTAGAGCCCACCCAAAAGTGCCCGTGAAGACAGGATCCTGCACCTCCAGCTTCCAACACGGTTCCAGAACCCAGAGTCCACATTACTAGGCATTTTATTCCCTGGACCTAGGAACCTTGGTGTTAAAAACCTCCCAGCGTCCCCCATTCTGCCTCCCTGGGGGCCCTGGACTCCACCCTTGGAACCAGTCGTCTGGGTTCGAGCTTTGCTCCCTGCACAGGTGCAATGACGAATGGGCGGGGGAAAGAATTCATGCCTTGCAGTAGCCACCAAAGGAATCCCTGAGCGATCCGAGTGGTTGAGCTCTCAGCCGCTAACAGAGGGGTTGGAGGTCCGAGTACGTGCAGAGGTCCCTTCCGAAAGGTCCCAGCCTCTAAAACCGTACGGAGCAGTTCCACTCTGCACACAGGGGGTTGCCACGAGTCAGAACCAACTCCACAGCAAGTGACAAAATACCCAACGACTCAGTTATCGGTGGTTACAAAACCTGGCAAGATCAGAACTGCCTGGGGAACTTTTAAAAAATGCACGTATTCCTGACCCCGGCATATTGAAGCTGGAATTCTCCTGGACTGGGAACTTTAATAGGATACGGCCTAAGGGAATCTGGTATGCATCTAGGTATAAGAGTCTTTGAAATTTGGCCCTATATACCTGGTCTTCTAAGGGGAGGGTCCAGTAACCCGAATATTCTAAGTGGGTGCAACTTATGACTTGGCCCTTGGGTGGTTTTTATATTTGGTACCAAAGGAGTATTCAGCGTGGGTCCCTGGGCGTTGCACATGGTGTGCGCACAGCTAGGAACCAAAGTGGGTCGCTTCAGTGCACCCAGCAGTACCGTGGAGGGAGCATGCCTGGCCATGGACCCCCCCAAAGGCCACAGCCTTGGAAAACCCTATGGGGCAGTTCCACTCTGCACATATGGCGTCGCAGTGAGTCAGAATGCAACGACAACAGACAGCAACCAACAACAGCAGGTGCAAGTCACCATGTTTTCATGAGGAAGCTGAGGCATTGATAGGCTCTGCACAAGAGAGGGCTGGGTGCACAGGGGTTAAGTACTCAGCCGCCAAACTAAAGTTCAGGGGTTGGAACCTTCCAGGTGCTCTACGGGAGAAGGATGGGGCAGTCTGCTTCTGTGAAGATGACAACCTTGGAGGCCCTGTGGGCAGTTCCACTCTGTCCTCTAGGGGCGCTGTGGGTCGGAATGGACTCCACCCAGTGGGTGTGGTTTGGGCTTTGCTTCCTTGAAGATTGACAGCCTTGGAGACCCTGTGGTGCAGTTCCACTCTGTCCTCTAGGGGCGCTGTGGGTCAGAATGGACTCCAGGCAGTGGGTGTGGCTTGGGCTTTGCTTCTGTAAAGATTGACAGCCTTGGAGACCCTGTGGTGCAGTTCCACTCTGTCCTCTAGGGGCGCTGTGGGTTTACTTTGGGCTTTGCTTCTGTGAGGACTGACAGCCTTGGAAACCCTGTAGGGTGGTTCAACTCTAACACACGTGGTTGCCATGAGTCAAAACTGACTCCATGGCAACTAAGGGCAACAGCACTAAGATGTTAGTGGTTCCAGCCCCCCCATTGCCCCACGGAACAAAGTCCTGGCTTTCTACTTGTGTAACAACAACAGCCAGGAAACCCTGTGGAACCGTTCTGCTCTGTAACACATGGGGCCTCGTAAGTCACTAAACCAACAACAAAAACAAAACCAACAACAAAATTAGTGAGGCTTGTTTTCCAACTTTTCCAAGCAATGTGGCTCTGGCCAAAATTTTCTGAATGGAAGCAGCTTGTGTGAGAGCACTTAAAGTGGGCAAGGTTCCCAGTGGGAGGGGCCCTAGGGGTTCATTAAAATAAATGCATAAGTCAATCCTGACTTCCAATCCCCACCCCCAGATCATTGCGTACCAGCCCTATGGGAAGTCCGTGGATTGGTGGTCCTTTGGGGTCCTGCTCTATGAGATGTTGGCGGGGCAGGTAAGAGAGGGGAGACTGTGGCTGGAGCTGAAATCAGCCTTTTGAAGGTGGGGTCAGGAATGTGGGCGGGGCTTGATGAGGGGGCGTGGCCTGAGGATAAAGAAGGGGTGGTGGTCTTCAGCTGTGACTTCAGTTTGCAATTCCCCGAGTTGGAGAAATGGGGAATGGCCGGTGGAAAG